GATAAATCCAGTTAGATTATTAAAGACTTAAATATAGTAACATAAAATTTAAACCCTATTGTGTCTGTGCATGAATTTTTTGAGAAAATTACAAAATGTAAGTGAAGGACATAAAAGACTTAAATGGCAAGAATACCATGTTTGAATGTGGGAAAACTCAATACCATAAAAATAGCAAATCTTTCCAAGAAGTGGTTTTCCAAGTCTGAAGTTCACCTGCATCAAAATAACCTAGAGTACTTTTTAAACTGTAGATTCTCGGGCTCCATTTCAAACTGCTGAATCGACAGGTCTGGGGAGGAAGCCCTGGAGTCTGCATTTCAGAAAGCTCTCCAAATGATTCTTTTGTGTACTAACGTTTCAGGTCCTTTGCCGTAGGGAAGAAGGTCATAACCTGAATTGCCCAGGAGAATCACCTGGGACAGTTTTTTCTGAAATTCAGATGCCCGAGCCACACCCCATAACAACTGAATCAGAATTTTAAACTGAATCAGATTCAACATTTTAAAAGTGCTGCGGTGATTCGAACGTGCAGCCCAGGTGGAGGGCCAGTACCCTGGATGACAGTGCATCTAGAATCAGGTCTGTAAGGTTTGCTGCCCTTCCTCATTTGAACATTACTCCTAGTGCTAACCTAGTAGGAACTGGACTTTATTTTGATTAAGGAAACACAATTTCCTTCCATATGGGTTATGACATTCATTTGGTATCCCCAGCATCCTGTCTGATACATAGCAGGGGCTTGGTGGTCATTTTCTGAAATAAATTCAACTAAGTGAAACTGAATGAAATGAATCAATATGTAGGTGAATAGAATTTTCACCAAATGCCACTGGATTCAACAAACCTATATGGCACCTAGCACAATGTTAGGCTATGAGAGATATAGAGATGAACAAAATATACTTCTTCCCTTCAATTGTTCACGATCTGGTGGGGGAGGCAGAAACAGGCAAAAGTATTTTACAATCAAGCAGACAATGAGAAGTGCACAGAATATAAAAAAGGGAATAAAAGAAAATTTGGTTCTGAATGACAGAATCTGGAAGGCATTATTGAAAAGTGGCCTTGAAGTATACCCAGGAAGAAATTCGGAAAACGGGCAGTTGCGCTATAGGCATAGGGAATTCTGCACAGCATAAGCCTAGTCAGGCGGGCCTTTCTCTAACCTTAATGGAAGACTGTAGGGCAGATATTAAAGGCTTCCTTTCTTTCTGATTTCCTTGTGACCACTCTCATTTTTCAAGTATTTTGCCTCTGGTTTATTAAATCTACCTCCTGGTGCCTCAGCTGATTTCTTCCAGGAAAAGTTTTCATTAGCATTTCTATGGGGAGCACCTGCTACCCCATCTATCCCTATTAACTGAAGGCTAGGGCAATGGGTTGCTAAGAGGAGAATTTTAATCCCCTCCTCTGACTCATCTATTTTCTAATTTAGAATGCTAGGTCTAAAATCACAAATGGCTGACCAGTGAAATCCATCCATAACCATTAAAAATGATAAAAGACATGCTTCTCAATTTTACATCTTTAACATTAAAAATGATAACGAACGAATGCTTCTAAATTTTATATCATCTATGTAAAATGAATGTATTAAAAATCAATCAACTTCATGATTGTGAATAATTCTAAAGGTACCTTAGATACCATTTGAATGCAAAAAAATCTCAGGCTAGTGTGGGTAGATTATGAATTAGATGAACTGTTAAATAGGGAAGGGTTCTCAAAACCACAGCATCAAAGGACATTTGATATTATCTACTGAATGTATATTGTTGGGTAAAACTAATTAATATGTATATGACTCTAGATGCTGAATGTATATTTTGTATTATATACCAATATATTAAGCTGATGGATTATGTGTTATTTATTTAAGCAAACTGCTCCCATTGTTGTCATGTGACAGATGTCCTTTGTAAAGCCCATGAGATAAGCCAGTCACCATGGTGTAAACCACAATGATTTATGTAGAGTGGCAAAAGAAAAGGGTTTGTAAATCAAATTATCATTGAAATGGAGCCCAACTTGGCTTCTAAGGCAAGGTAAGCCTCCTTTACAGCAGACACAGGGCATGTTTAAATTCAGCAGATATTCAGAATCATACCAAAGCAAAGAATGTGAGACAATTGGGAAGGAAAATCAATGTTCCAGATAAGCCTACCATTTCCAGGCATTTTTTCTTTATAGTATATTTCATTAATTGATTATCTGATTTTTCATATCTACTTTCGCCCAAAGTGCATTTCCCTATTATTGGTTTATTTTTCTTCTGGAGCAAAAAATAATATTAAATTTCACATCAAATTTGTCATGCAGTTAAATTGTTCCTTAGAGAAACTGATGTCTCTCATCAACACTCATTCTGATTCAAAACCATTCTGATTATCCAGCAAAATGGAAATGCTGCCCAGAATCATATGCATAATTAAATTTTACAGAAGATCCAAATTAGAAAAAAACATTTTTGAGGTGCTCAGATTTTTTTTGATAGCCATCAAGAATAAGCATTCTCTCATAACCAATGGACACAAGACACTGGCGGGGGGGGTGAAGGCATGTGCTGAGGGGTAGGGGAGGCCGGGGGAAGGTCAATGGGGAAAAAAAAAAGGAGACATATGTACTACTATCTGTAATACTTTAAACAATAAGATAAAATTTTTTAAAAAAATAAGCATTCTCACTAGCTATAAGAGTATAGCCTTCTGCTATTCAATCCAATCACTTGCAGTATGTGTATAATTCTAATTGTAAAGCATGACATGCTTACTGTACAGTTAAGGTGTTTTTTTTTTGGAGGGGGGGGGGAAGAGGCTATACAGCACATAGGTACAAGCCAAAATATTTAGAGTGAGTTGTATCTGAAGGGTGGGTCATTCCCTGACTGTCTGGCCAATCATCCATGGACAAAGAAAGCCCCACCAACTTGGAAATATGAACTGAGTAGGATCACCCAAGGAAATTTGAGAATCTGGAATCTCTCTTGATTGGCATTGACTCTATGGAAGTGAGGAGAGGTAGTTCCTGCCTGGTGAGTGTTAAGGTTCCACCTGCCACAGGGTCATTGAGTGGGAGTAGGAAGATAAAGAGGCCAGATCAGGAATCTGAGATCTTGGGCCAACTTTAGGGCTCTCAGGGAGTGAAGTAGGGCCCTATAAATAAGAAAGCCATGGCAGAATCACAAGCTACATCTTGGCTTTGTTTTTTATGCCCCTTTCTTTTCTTTTTGATGCTCTCTTGGTAGCAGCATAAAGATATTGTGAAAATGTTACCTCCTGGTGACTATGAATCAAGGAAAAGGATACGTGTCCTTGCATGACCCAGAGCTTTAGAGGGAAGCGGTATGCTCCTTGGGGACCAGTGTGGTCAAGATAACAATAAACCCAGAGAATAATGTCAAGTGGGAGGTGGAATGCAGGAAGATGGAGTAGTGGCCAACAGAGTGGCTGCCCCTTCTCAGTGGAAAACGCTTTCCAGAGTTAAAACCTGGAGAGGGGTTGATTTTGTCTTAACAGAGAGGATGTTAACTATGCTAGTCTTTCCTCGGCATGTAAAGAAGTGTTTGTTATGTTCACTGGAGAAAGACCTGTCTGACATGAGGCTGCACATAGGGTCTTGGCAAAAGACACTACTTCTGCAGTCCTCCTGGCCACACCCTCTGGCCAGCAGGAGGCAACTGGCTGTGGCATTGATGAAGGACCCCATAAGCCACATTTTTGATACCTTTCATTCAATTATCCATCATGCACATCTGCTTCCCCAGAGACCTCCATGCCAGATGTTACATGTTCAGAGTCAACTGTGATCTGCTAGCTGGTTGATTCGGGTTGAAAAATAAGGGCAGGACTAAAAGCTAAGCATTCAAAAATACATATTGGATGCATGAAGGATGACAAAGCAGGCTGGAAGGGCTGAGACTACAGCAAAGGGAGAATTCTAGAAGAATAGGAAGAGAGAGAGGTTATGCCCTTGCTTGAAAGCATTCATTTACAGGGCATTCAACTGTGTTAAAAAAAAAAAAGGCGTTCTTGGTGGTAAGAGAATGGGAAACACATCTGGAGAACATAAAGAGACAGGAGAAAGGAGAGAAGGCTGGGTAGGACATATCTACAAAGTGAAAATCAGAATAATAAAGCATCCTGCAGAAGGCTGGAAGAGGACCAAAATGTACTAATCATCTACTACGTGCCAGGCACAATTTCCCCCCTGAATCATCTCATTTAAGCCTCACAATGTCTAGCATAGTGCCTGGCATAGAGTAGGTGCTCAAAAATAAGTTGGATATTAAATTAATAAATGAGCGAGTACTTCTCAACCTCTCAATCACATCCAATAAGAGCCTGAGGCCCAGACGGGTTAAGAAACTTGCCCAATGTACCACAGCCAGTAAGAAACCTAAGGAGTCTGACTTCAAAGCCCAGTGGTAGAAGGAGGAGGGTGAGCTATAAGGATTTCTGAAGGAATCCAGAAAAGGGTGTGGTGCTTGGGTATCTCCCAGGGACTGAGAGAGGGGAAGGAAGAATCAAAGGCCAAGCGAATTGGGCTAGGGAAGAGGGCTATTGGTCACTGGGAAAGAATTCTTCTTCTGGAAGAATAGGGCCCTGGGGGAAGGCATGAAGGCTGGTGGGTGGCGACTGAGCCAGCAAGGGGCCGCATCTAGACTAGTGCAGTGGGTAAGCTGGGTGGGGCGGAATGGAAGCACAGCCTGTGAAAAAAATTGCAAAGGGTCTTTGTTGGGCAGGGAGGGATTCGAGGTAGGGCGGGATGGGGAAAAGGTGGCTGAAATGGTCAAGCGAAAGACCTGGGCAGGTTGGGGAAGACACATAAGAAAGAGCCGAAAGGAATCAGCCACGGGAGGGTGCCTGGGAAGGGTCGGGGAGAGTGTGGTCTGGGTTGGGAGGGGAGGCTGACTGTGAGGCCTGCGAAGTGGAGAATGAGTCCTGGGTAGAGGGTCAGGGTGACCAGCCCCGTCGCAGGAGCCGTGTCCGGCATCTCACCTGTAGGAGCTGCCCACGGCACTCGCCACCTCCTCGCGGATCTGCCTGTTGAGGGCGTCAGC